GATTTTCCTTTCTACTGGTTTCTACTTTTCGTCCGTACCGATCAAGCACAACTCTTTCCTTTTTCCCGCTTTCTGCTGGTGTATTTATGGAGAATAATTTTGAAATTAACCAACCAACGCCAGACATATGAGATCGCTTCTACAACAAAGATGTCTGGTGAGGAAAAATTAAAATAAAAATAAAAAAAAGTAAATAGAAATTCCCGTTTTCCGAAATCAAAAAAAAATTTAGTTTGTAATTATAATTTGTAATTATAATTAGGAATCAGAATATGAAACAAAAACTACTATTTTTCCATATAATCTAAATATTAAACATCTTACGATACCCGAATGTCTTTAATAAAAATAGAACCACACATTCTTTAGGATAAGTAGACTTTTACAATGGTGAAATAAGTACAAATAAATTCATTAATACCTTCCTAAGTTCCCGAGCTTGTTTTTCTTGTCGTACAGCAATGGCAAGCATATTTCGCAGTTCATCACAATCCGGTCCAATTGAACTGTATGGCCGACGTCGTACTTCACTTTCACTTCCACTTCCACCCGTCAATTGCTCAATCAAAACATTAGCTATGATTTCTTCCAAGCCTTCATCGTCTATTTCAATTTCTTCTTCCATCACCCTCTCATTTCCTTCGATCTCCTGACATTTCACCGATTTTGAATTAAATCTTAATTTCTCTATTCAAAGTTGATTTCTAATAAGAAAGAATTAGTAGATATCTTAGCAAGACTTATTTCCATATTTCAAGACAAAAATACCGCAGTTTGCAACGAAGCTTTAAAGCTTGGTGAATCACTATGAGACGAATTATCATCGTCACCATCGTCCATATCGATAATAATACTTGATGAGGAAAGTTTGTGATCAGTTTTATCATCCAGCTGCATTCCGGGAGTATTAGACGATGTGGCAACAGCAGAAGTATAATGCTGCACTGGAGATGGAGTGTAAGTTGATGTGTCCATTTCGTTACCATGTTCCAAAGATTCTGGCGAGTAGGGCTTATTGTAATCGCAATCATATGAATTAACTGCCATAGTACAATCATCATATAGATCTACAATCCAATCACATATTATTAAAATGCCATTAATAATAATATATGAGTCGAAAAAAATGTCCTGCATATCAATACAAGGAGTGAAAATGATATCCTCCAAACAAAAAATCGAACTATAATTTTTTTTCAAACCAATTAGCAGTCGTAAACAGATTACAGACTCAATGACTATTT